TATTGACAATAAAAAGAATATTTGTCAAAACTTATTTATTTATAAAGTAATCCATATATAAGTATATTCTTAAAATCGAGCCAAAAATAGACGTGAGTTAAATTTAATTTATTTGACCCTCGAAATTTTTAGTTGATTTTTCTCACTTTGGTTGAGATTCTTCACTCACTTTAAAATGTGGTGATATAAAAGATCGATAAACACACCAAATAATATTTCGAGACATATTGATTATAGTGATATATTATCGATTGCGTGTTTCGATCAAGCTTTCAGTTGTTTGGAAAGATTGGATGTCAAAGTTACCAAAAAAGTACTCATTAAGTATTTTTTTTAAAATTTTCATTGGTGCATATGTGTTTTTGCTTATTTCTATTATGATTCAATCATTTTATATTTTTAAGGAAAGCATCAATTTTCTATTTTTAGCAAAAAAATACAAAGATTTAGTGGAGCATCTTAATGTGAGATATCTAAACTTTTTTTTTTTAATTTCACTGAGTTCTGTGTACTCTTTATCGTGAATGTCACAAGAATAGCTTCTGAAACTCGATTTTTTGTAGCGTGAGTTCATTCGAAATTTTTTAAATTCCAGCCCTTCCTAACATCATTTTCTGCTTCCGTCCCTCATTTAAACCAACTTGCTAATCAAGTTCTAACCGTACTTCACAAATAGTTTCTTTCACTTTTTATTTTTAATCCTTTTATGAATGGAAAAATGAAAGGGGAAAATTAATAAGGTCTGGGAAAGGTGTTAACAAACAACCCTTTTAGACACAATTCCGCTGATGATGTTACCCAAATACCCTTGTTCTATTCCTATTATCCTTCTTATTTCTTTTTATAAAAGAAGTTATTACGTTTAATCCCAGTGGCATTTTAGTCAAGAGAAAAATCCTCACGTGTTGGCTAAGCTTAAAGGTAAATAAAATGTTACCTTTTGTTTTCAATTATGCTTTTTTGTAAATTTCTGAATAAAAAAATCAGGTAATTCCAGCTCTAATGACAAAATAAGTAAAAAATAGTTATGCCATTTGTACACATTATTTTGCCAAAATTAGATTGTCATAATGAGTTGTCAATTTGCGATTGGATGATTGTAAAATGAATTTGGCCCAACTATCAAAGAAATGTTGTCAAGTGTTAATCTTACACGATTCTGATAAAATCAATCTAGTAACGTAGCATAACTTTTTCTGCTTTTATTAATGAGTCGATACCCGATGATACAGTAACTATTAACTGGTTGAGGTTAGCTTGTGCAATCATGTGCCTTTGAGAGAATGTAAAATAAATTAGTTATTTGATTTCATTTTTTTAATAAAAAAATAATTATTCAGGACCTGCTTATTTACTTATAAGCACTTTTGTGTTTAGCCAAACACTCTTTCTCCTCTAAATCGCCTCCGTTGCTTCAGCGGTAACTGTCAGAAAAGCAAAAACCAATACTGAATATTCTTGAAAAATAATCAAAATCGTAGCCATGAGCTCAACGAAGATGCGCCGGAAGGTGCTTCCGGCGGCCACGGAGAACGGTGATACCGGGGACAAGCAGGATCAGCTCCTTCTCTCCGCCACCATCTGCAACGGCGAGGACCTTGGTCCCTTTATCCGCAAGGCTTTTGTCTCCGGCAAACCGGAGATCCTCCTCCGCCACCTCGAGCAATTCCGTCGATACAAGGAGTCGGAGATTGAAGACGTCTGTCGCGCCCACTATCAAGACTTTATTATGGCCGTTGATGACCTCCGATCTCTCCTCTCCGACGTCGATACTCTCAAGTCATCCCTCTATGACTCTAACGCCAAGCTCCAATCCGTCGCTGTTCCTCTTTTGACTTCGCTCGATTCGTTTGTCGAAGCCAGAAGTA